TCACAGGTAAGTGACATAATTGTAGAATATATGGCAGTCATGGAAAGTCCTTTTTTTAGTACTTTTTTAATCGGAAAATACCGTGGTACCCCCTCGATATTTTCTTTACTCTAACTTATAAACATTTATTAAGTAGTTCACATAATATTTAAGTCTAGTCTATAGTCGTCTATAGTCTAGTCTAGTCTAGTCTATAGTCTAGTCTATAGTTTAGTCTATAGTCTAGTCTATAGTCTAGTCTATAGTCTAGTCTATAGTCTAGTCTATAGTCTAGTCTATAGTCTAGTCTATAGTCTAGTCTATAGTCTAGTCTATAGTCTAGTCTATAGTCTAGTCTATAGTCTAGTCTATAGTCTAGTCTATAGTCTAGTCTATAGTCTAGTCTATAGTCTAGTCTATAGTCTAGTCTATAGTCTAGTCTATAGTCTAGTCTATAGTCTAGTCTATAGTCTAGTCTATAGTCTAGTCTATAGTCTAGTCTATAGTCTAGTCTATAGTCTAGTCTATAGTCTAGTCTATAGTCTAGTCTATAGTCTAGTCTATAGTCTAGTCTATAGTCTAGTCTATAGTCTAGTCTATAGTCTAGTATAGTCTAGTCTATAGTCTAGTCTATAGTCTAGTCTATAGTCTAGTCTATAGTCTAGTCTATAGTCTAGTCTATAGTCTAGTCTATAGTCTAGTCTATAGTCTAGTCTATAGTCTAGTCTATAGTCTAGTCTATAGTCTAGTCTATAGTCTAGTCTATAGTCTAGTCTATATTCTTGTCTATAGTCTAGTCTATAGTCTAGTCTATAGTGTAGTCTATAGTCTAGTCTATAGCCTAGTCTATAGTCTGGTCTATAGTCTAGTCTATAGCCTAGTCTATAGTCTAGTCTATAGCCTAGTCTATAGTCTAGTCTATAGTCTAGTCTATAGTCTAGTCTATAGTCTAGTCTATAGTCTAGTCTATAGTCTAGTCTATAGTCTAGTCTATAGTCTATAGTCTAGTCTATAGTCTAGTCTATAGTCTAGTCTATAGTCTAGTCTATAGTCTAGTCTATAGTCTAGTCTATAGTCTAGTCTATAGTCTAGTCTATAGTCTAGTCTATAGTCTAGTCTAGTCTAGTCTATAGTCTAGTCTATAGTCTAGTCTATAGTCTAGTCTATAGTCTAGTCTATAGTCTAGTCTATAGTCTAGTCTATAGTCTAGTCTATAGTATAGTCTATAGTCTAGTCTATAGTCTAGTCTATAGTCTAGTCTATAGTCTAGTCTATAGTCTAGTCTATAGTCTAGTCTATAAGTCTAGTCTATAGTCTAGTCTATAGTCTAGTCTATAGTCTAGTCTATAGTCTAGTCTATAGTCTAGTCTATAGGTCTAGTCTATAGTCTAGTCTATAGTCTAGTCTATAGTCTAGTCTATAGTCTAGTCTATAGTCTAGTCTATAGTCTAGTCTATAGTCTATAGTCTAGTCTATAGTCTAGTCTATAGTCTAGTCTATAGTCTAGTCTATAGTCTAGTCTATAGTCTAGTCTATAGTCTAGTCTATAGTCTAGTCTATAGTCTAGTCTATAGTCTAGTCTATAGTCTAGTCTATAGTCTAGTCTATAGTCTAGTCTATAGTCTAGTCTATAGTCTAGTCTATAGTCTAGTCTATAGTATAGTCTATAGTCTAGTCTATAGTCTAGTCTATAGTCTAGACTATAGACTAGACTATAGACTAGACTATAGATATAGATAGATAGATAGATAGATAGATAGATAGATAGATAGATAGATAGATATAGATGTAGATGATGATAGATAGATAGATAGCTAGATCGATCGATTCGATAGATAGCTCGATAGATAGCTGATAGATCGATCGCTCGCTAGCTCGATCGCTAGCTCTCGCTCGCTAGTCGCTCGCTCGCTCGCTCTCTCGCTCGCTCGCTCGCTCGCTCGCTCGCTCGCTCGCTCGCTCGCTCGCTCCTGCTCGCTCGCTCGCTCGCTCGCTCGCTCGCTCGCTCCTCGCTCGCTCGCTCGCTGCTCGCTCGCTCGCTCGCTCGCTCGCTCGCTCGCTCGCTCGCTCGCTCCTCGCTCGCTCTCTCGCTCGCTCGCTCGCTCGCTCGCTCGCTCGCTCGCTCGCTCGCTCGCTCGCTCGCTCGCTCGCTCGCTCGCTCGCTCGCTCGCTCGCTCGCTCTCTCTCTCGCTCGCTCGCTCCTCGCTCGCTCGCTCGCTCGCTCGCTCGCTCGCTCGCTCGCTCGCTCGCTCGCTCGCTCGCTCGCTCGCTCGCTCGCTCGCTCGCTCGCTCGCTCGCTCGCTCGCTCGCTCGCTCGCTCGCTCGCTCGCTCGCTCGCTCGCTCGCTCGCTCGCTCGCTCGCTCTCGCTCGCTCGCTCGCTCGCTCGCTCGCTCGCTCTCTCGCTCGCTCGCTCGCTCGCTCGCTCGCTCGCTCGCTCGCTCGCTCTGCTCGCTCGCTCGCTCGCTCGCTCGCTCGCTCGCTCGTCGCTCGCTCTCTCGCTCGCTCGCTCGCTCGCTCGCTCGCTCGCTCGCTCGCTCGCTCGCTCGCTCTCGCTCGCTCGCTCGCTCGCTCGCTCGCTCGCTCGCTCGCTCGCTCGCTCGCTCGCTCGCTCGCTCGCTAGCTCGCTCGCTCGCTCGCTCGCTCGCTCGCTCGCTCGCTCGCTCGCTCGCTCGCTCGCTCGCTCGCTCGCTCGCTCGCTCGCTCGCGCTCGCTCGCTCGCTCGCTCGCTCGCTCGCTCGCTCGCTCGCTCGCTCGCTCGCTCGCTCGCTCGCTCGCTCGCTCGCTCGCTCGCTCGCTCGCTCGCTCGCTCGCTCGCTCGCTCGCTCGCTCGCTCGCTCGCTCTCTGCTCGCTCGCTCGCTCTCTCTCGCTCGCTCGCTCGCTCGCTGCTCGCTCGCTCGCTCGCTCGCTCGCTCGCTCGCTCGCTCCTCGCTCGCTCGCTCGCTCGCTCGCTCGCTCGCTCGCTCGCTCGCTCGCTCGCTCGCTCGGGTCCTTTTCGTCTCTTTGTAAACACTTGTTATGCAAAAGACTATCAATGTTTATTGGAGTAGGGCGATAGTGGTATCATTTAAAAGGCCTTGCAAAGGCGCATTAGGAAATGTAAAATCTTCAATATTCATAAAGCAGCTTCCGTAAAATCTTAAAATATTAACCAAAGATTTAATTTTTTGAACAGTATACAGATTATTTTGACAAATTAGCCGAATTTATTTTAATTTCTATGTATTAAATGAATCTTGTTATTATTACTTTTTATATTCGCGGTTTTGTCCATTCCTTTACAGTCTCAAAATTTATATCAAAATATTTAATAGGGTATCAAACTTTTACATTTGTCATACGCATTTCTAAAACGTGGAATAATTTCCAAATTAAAATTTTTTTCTCGCCATTTTATAAAAAATGTACAAAAAATCAAAAATTTTCTTTCCTAAAACAAGATTATTGATTAAAGTTTTCAAATAGACCATGTTTTAAGTTTTTAAATATATTTTAACTTTCTGCATTTAACTTATACACAGTAAGCAGTACATTTCGCAAAAAAAAAAATTAATTTAGCCTTTTAGTTAGCCGTTTAAATACAATTTTTTCGATTTTCCAAAAAATATGCTTTTATTCGGAAACCGCGAAAATTTCGAAATGGATGTTCTTGATTTACATATTATTCAATGGCCCTTCGAAGGAGCTTTCATATGATACCCCATTTGTTAATAGTTTCTATTAATTAAATTTAAAATTCCCCTTAACTCACTATGAACTTTCAATTAGCGATAGCGTAAAAGTTTGACCTAGCAGCGAAAAATGCTTCGGGGGTTTGAATACACTAATAGCATAGTTTTCGCCCCCAAAAAATAGTGTTGCATAGTGTAATAATTTGTTTTACCAATAATCTCATTTTTTAATAAAAATTTCGGTTTTTACAACAAATACGATTTCTTAACTAAAATTCCTAGTTTTTACTGAAAATTTGATTTGTTACAAAAAATAATTTGTTTACAAAAAATTTTTTTTTACTAAATTTTTTAAATTTTTCACCTAAAATTTGAATTTTTATTAAATATCTGTTCAATTTTTTCTAAAAAAGTCAATTTTTACATAAAATTTGAATTCATACTAAAAATACGTCTTTTCACTGAAAACCAATTTCTTTTCAGATCAAAATCGATACTAAAATTGATAAAATCACAACCACAACTAGCGATGAACTCGAGGAAGATGAAAACCTTGCACACATTATACAAATCGAAACAAAAAGTAATGATGCTGATATCTCAGAAACAAGATTTCAAATACAACATGTTGTACAGCAGCAGCAACAACTAACCCCGCAAACACAACCAATACTGCAACAGCAACCGCAGCAGCAACAACAGACTCTAATAAAACAACAACCAACTGTTGCCAAACAACCGGTACGTATAGTACCAGCTAAACGTGTTGAACATATGGGTACGGTGCAAGTGCGTCAACAAATGCCAAACACCACCACGACACACACTATTAAAGCAAACACTAGTATTGGGGGAGCCAATATTAACACAGTGAATACTGCAAACAATACAAAATCTGTAGGTACCCAAGCAACTGCTAACGCATCCTCGTCCGTAATACCCTTATTAACTACCCCGGAAATATGTCGACAATTATTGGAATTGCGCAAAAATAATGAAGAATTACGTCGTAAATTCGATTTGGTGCAAAAGGAAAAAGAAGAGTTGCGACAACGTCTGGAAAGATTGGAAGAATTACTCTTGGTAGAGCGCACGGATGACGATTCCTAGTTTTAAAATAATAACAACAACGAAATACAGAAAGAGTCTTTAAAAGCATAATTAGTTTAGAGCGCTGCCTTTTTTATGAAGAAAAAAATTAAAAATTTATTATTAGTAAACAACATTATTTCTTAAAACATTTATGAATTTTATTTAAGTTTTATTTTTAAATTTTAATTAATTTTGTTGTTTTCAAAGAACTTTATGAATTCAGAGTTTTTGTCCTTTTTTCCCTTTTAACACTGTATATATGCTAAGTAAAAGATGACATTTTTTTATGCAAAATCATAATTATATTTTCTTCATGATTACTACTTATTACATTATTTACTCATTATCTTTTTTTTAAAGTTTTAACCATTAAAAAAGTGTATAAATTGTTATACAAAGCAAATTAAAGTTTATTTTCTTTTAAATTTTATTATTAACAAAATTGTTTATTGTACCATGTTTTAATTGAAGTTTCATAAATATCTTTATACAAACATACTATTTAATATTATTACATATTAATAAACATTATTTTTCTATTAAACGAAATGCAATATTTTGCCTGGCATTTGTTAAAATTTACATTTAAAAGAAACGTCTTTAAGTGTTAAAGAAAACAAAAAAACATTAAAGTTAAAAAAACACTTTAAAAAAATCTGTTACTACTATATAAATTTGTAATAATGATTCTTATATTTAATGTAAGTGATTTTTTTATATAAGTATAAAATGTAAGAATAATAATATTAATAAAAATTTAACTGAAGTTAAAACAAAACAAAATGTAAATGGAATTTTTAAAATTTAATATTGCTCTCAGTAGCAATGAGAACCGGAACGACAGATTCCCAATCTGCAAAGATTGCAAACTAAGCAATAGCTGTACAACAACACTTAAAATTTATTTTTTTAAACGAAAATTTTATTTTCTACTTAAAACTAATTTTTTTACTAAAAAATTTATTTATGGAATAAAATTAGATTTTTCATAAAAATCAGATTTCACTACAAATCCTATAGTTAGTTAGTTATTTAGTTAGTTAGTTAGTTAGTTAGTTATTTAGTTAGTTAGTTCGTTAGTTCGTTAGTTAGTTAGTTAGTTAGTTAGTTAGTTAGTTAGTTAGTTAGTTAGTTAGTTAGTTAGTTAGTTAGTTAGTTAGTTAGTTAGTTAGTTAGTTCGTTAGTTCGTTAGTTCGTTAGTTAGTTAGTTAGTTAGTTAGTTAGTTAGCTAGTTAGTTAGTTAGTTAGTTAGTTAGTTAGTTAGTTAGTTAGTTAGTTAGTTAGTTAGTTAGTTAGTTAGTTAGTTAGTTAGTTAGTTAGTTAGTTAGTTAGTTAGTTAGTTAGTTAGTTAGTTAGTTAGTTAGTTAGTTAGTTAGTTAGTTAGTTAGTTAGTTAGTTAGTTAGTTAGTTAGTTAGTTAGTTAGTTAGTTAGTTAGTTAGTTAGTTAGTTAGTTAGTTAGTTAGTTAGTTAGTTAGTTAGTTAGTTACTTAGTTAGTTAATGAGTTAGTTAGTTTGAATATTAGATAGACTTCAGAGGTTAAGGTTAAAGAAGTCCCAGCGTTCCGTTACTGACAAAGTTAACAACAATCAGTGGCTCTCTTTTTATAATAACAACAAATTCCTATTTTGTATTAATTTTCTTAATTTTAATTTAAAAGTTACCTATTTCCAAAAATTTTTTCAGATTTACTTAATTATGAAATAGATTCATTATGTAAACTAGCATACCTTCCCTTTGTTTTTTGTGCTTTTCCATTTTGTTTTTATTTTCTAAACAAAAACAAGTAATTGTGTGCTTCCTTTTTTCATCCCATTCTCAGCAACAATAAAATTACACACACGAAACAAGCTGCCAGATGCTGGATTTCACATAAACTACGGGTAAAAACAGCAACAAGTTTTTGCTTTTAATTTACAGTTTAAAACTAAATAAAATATCTAAAATAATTAAAATTTAACTAAAAATAATATTTTTAGTTATTTGCATAATAATAATTAATGATTTATTAAATTTATTTATCCTTTAATAAAGCATTTTTTCAATGGTTTAAAAATGAAAATGTGGTAACCTTGTATTTGTCATAGTAAACATCAGAATAATTGCCAACGACACGTGCATTTCACAGTCTTTCTAAATTTAATAGAAGAAATGGTAAGTAATTTTATAATTTTCCTGTTTATTAACTAATTTAATAATATAATATTTATACAGGGAAAGAATAAAATTGATGATTTGCCGGGTTTTCCTTCGCTGGACAAGGGAGGCAATGGTGAGGAGAGTAATTTGTTAAAATCAAAACCCTCGGCTAAGGCCAAGAAAAGTGGTGGTTTCCAATCGATGGGTTTAAGTTTTGAGGTGGTCAAAGGTATAACAAAACGTGGCTATCGTGTGCCCACACCTATACAGCGTAAAACTATTCCCTTGATATTGGAGGGACGTGATGTGGTGGCTATGGCTAAAACTGGTTCGGGTAAAACAGCCTGTTTCTTGATACCTCTCTTCGAACGTCTTAAACGGCGTGATCCTACCAAAGGGGCCAGAGCTTTAATTCTATCACCCACCCGTGAATTGGCTGTGCAGACATATAAGTTTATTAAAGAATTGGGTAAATTTATGGATTTGAAGACTATTTTAGTATTGGGTGGTGATTCTATGGATTCACAATTTTCTGCCATACACACTTGTCCCGATGTTATAGTAGCTACTCCGGGTAGATTTTTGCATTTATGTGTAGAAATGGATTTGAAATTGAGTGCTATAGGTGAGTACTGGAAGCAAATTCTAAAAAACTTTTTCTGTAGTAACTTTTTGTTGTTTTCTTTAGAATATGTGGTATTTGATGAGGCAGATCGTTTATTTGAAATGGGTTTTGGTGAACAGTTGAATGAAACTTTACATCGTCTGCCTCACTCCAGACAAATGGTGTTGTTTTCTGCCACTTTACCTAAGCAAATGGTAGATTTTGCCAGAGCCGGTTTAAGTGATCCAGTTTTAATACGTTTAGGTAAGTTAAGGAATATGTCAGGTTTTACAGGTCCTCATAAGGAACGAAAATTTAAGTTAATTTAAGTTAAGGGAAAATTCTAAAATGAAGCATAGTTAATTTTGTGTTCATTTTTAACATTTCTTAGATGTTGAATCCAAACTGCCCGATGCCTTAAGTTTGAAATTTGTTTATTGTCGTCCGGATGATCGTTATACCACATTGGTATGTTTGCTCAAGTATGTTATACCTCAAGATGCCCAAACAGTGGTATTTGCTGGTACTCAACATCATGTAGAACTAATATCATTTGTAAGTTATTCCTATACCCCAATAGAAAACGTTTCTTTAATAATTTATTCCTTTTCTTTAACAGATCCTTACCGAATCTGGTATAAGCAACACCTCCGTTTACTCTAGTCTCGATCCTTCGGCCCGTAAAATCAATACCGCTAAATTTGTTAACAAAAAAGTGTCCGTGTTAATTGTTACTGATGTTGCTGCACGTGGTATTGATATACCCAGTTGGATTTTGTGGTAAATTTACATTTTCCCGGTAAACCCAAGTTATTTGTACATCGTGTAGGCCGTTGTGCTCGTGCCGGACGCACTGGTACTGCCTATTCCATATTCTCTACAGATGATACGGCTCATATGTTAGATTTACATTTGTTTTTGAATCGTGAATTTAATATCAATGATTCGACCGTCATTGGTACAGTGCCCCAAGATCTGCTGGAAGAGGAACATTTGTCGGTGACCGAGATAAGAAAAATACCAATATAGTAAGTTAAATTTAAACTTTTGTGCGAATTTTATCTTTAATTTCTGCTTAAATCTCTTTCTAGAGCGGTGTTTTGCGTACCAGTGAAAATGCCTATAAGAAATATCTTTCCTCACGCCCAGTAGCTTCCTCAGATTCGAATGCTAGAGTGAAGAAATTAAAATTCTTTGCCTTAAAACCTTTGGAGGACTTTATAGTCAGTGCTGTGCCCAAATTAGCGGCTGCTAGTGAAACTAAAACCTCTAAGACAATGGAAGAGATTACTGCCGAAGAGCGTGAATTGCAAAATCAAAAACATGATTTATTACTGAAAATGCGCAACTTTAAACCGCATAATGTGAGTTTGCTCTATCACAGTTTTAGGAAATTAATTAATTTTTTGCTTTGTTATAAATTTTAGACTATTTTTGAATTGAATAACACCCAAAAATCTGTACCCTTTATGGTTATGAAACAAAAACGTTCTCAACATTCAGATGTTATTGAAAAATATCGCACACAAAGAGAGGAATTAGATAAGGAGGAGGAAAAACAGGCCGAACAAATTGAAACAAATAAGGTAAGAGGATAATTTTGTTCTTAATTATTCAAAATCATATAAACATAAAGTCACTGAAGGAGTGAAAGGTTCACAAATAAGTAAAAAAGGTCATCATCGAAGAAGCGACAAAATATAAATAAGCGACACTTCGATGAAATTAATTTGCATACTCAACACCAGACTCAGTACTGAAAGCAATCGAAATGTTCAATTATAGAGTTGGAAAAATAATATTGCTTTCATCTACATCCCCTTTGAAAGAAAGTGAAACAAAACATAGATAGATAGATAGATAGATAGATAGATAGATAGATATATAGATATAGATAGATAGATAGATAGATAGATAGATAGATAGATAGATAGATAGTAGATAGATGATGATAGATGGATAGATAGATGATAGATAGATAGATAGATAGATAGATAGATAGATGATAGATAGCTCGATCGCTCGCTCTATCTCTCTATCTCTATCCTCTATCTCTCCTATCGCTCGCTCGCTAGCTCTCGCTCGCTCCTCGCCTCGCTCGCTAGTCCTCCAAAGTAGCCACTATACTTTTACTTCCTTCCACGTTTGCCCTTTTCTAAACCCTCAATCATTTTGAAGCAATAAGTATTTTGTAGTCCGTAGTAATTCGAAAAACATAAAAGTACCAAAATAGTAAAATTTTATTTCCTTACAAGTTTGAAAGTATAAACATTGTCCGAATTGTTTCAGTACTTTGTTTGGTATATTTTATTTGAAACAAGTGCCCTAGAATAGAATTTTCACCAATTTTGGTATTTTTGGACTATTTGAAGTATATAAAGAAAGTACAAATACTAGGTATACATTTGTTTCATAAGGTTTGGCTAAGGTATGAAATTAGAATTTCCCCTTTATCCCCAAATTTGGAATTTTTTTTTCGCATTTGGAGTGAAAAATAGTTTACTGAGAAATATCGAAGGCGTAGTAGAAGATCGTAATAGGAAAAGACATTAAAAGTACCAAAAATAGTAAAATTTATGGCAAATCAAGTTTAAACATGTTAATGATCGGTATCTTAAATGGAAAAAGTGTAGAGAAGTTTTGCCTCAAGAAATAGAACTAGAAGTCTCGAATTGTTCTTCATTCACAAATCATTTTAGTGTTAAAGATCAAGATCAAAATCAAACTAAACAAAATACATTTATTTTTCACCTTAACCACAAAACAGAAGTCCAAAAAGAGTAATGTCAACGAGGAAGAAATCAATTCCGCTTTTAAAAAAGTCTTTGCCCCTAAACGTCCACAAAATATGGATGATCTCTATAAAGAGAAACCTAA